ATATATATATGTATGTAAATAAATAAATAAATAATTCTAATATAAAAAACCGAATAAGGGTGCAGTTGGATGTAAAAATATCAAATAGGCTAAATTATTTGTAAAGCTCACAAACTATTCGTCTGTGTACAGCCTTATTTCAGTCAACAAAACCATAAAGGTGGGTCTTTATTAGTGAACTAGCTTTGATGAATGTGATATTTGGTCAAATAATCCTCTTTACAGTGTTGATAATAGTGTTTCAGTGCTCAGTGCTCCGCTCACCGGTGTCCTCCTCATCTTCCTCCTGCTGTCTGTCCATCATCATCATCCTCCTCCTCCTCCTCCTCGCGAGCAGCAGCAGCAGCTCCTAAAACACAAACACGCTCAGACCTGCGCCACAGCTCTTATTTCCCGTGTGATGATGAAACTGTTTCCGGCGCTCATGTGACCACGGATACTGTACGAGCGCGTAAGCTGGTCACGTGCCGCCGAGCGACGCCTCTGATTGGACGAACGATTGTACGGTTACACATACGTGCTTGCACACACACATTTTTCTTACAGTGTTTTTTAGTATCACTGAGATAGTATAGTTTTTGTTAATATTTTGAATTACATTTTATTTTTACAAATAAATCTTAAAGTTTCACAACCGTGAATTCATAAATAAAATGATCACAAAATTCACGATATGGGAGCAGAAAATGTATACATTTATATCATTTAATATAGTTTATATAAATATCATTTATATATCAATGTCGTTTTGAGAACGCATGAGACAACATCAAATCTTAATGCATGTTACTCGTCTTACTGTGAACAATTCATCCATGCATTAATTTTAATTACTTTAACTGACAGATAAAACGAAGTCCCTGCCCTACATTTCTTTCCGACTCGATAGCACTTAACTCTAACATGTCACAATACAGTAGAAAAGTTGGTTGCAACTTCCGTTTCAAGCTGATCTTAAAGGGATAGTTCACCCAAAAATGAAATGTGATGTTTATCTGCTTACCCCCAGGACATCCAAGATGTAGGTGACTTTGTTTCTTCAGTAGAACACATATGATGATTTTTAACTTTAACCGTTGCAGTCTATCAGTCGTATAATGCATGGCAATGGTAACAAAATCT